GCAATTGCAGCAAAGAATAACATAAAAGTGAGATCACCTAATTTTAAAGTTGTTAAGGAACTCTAGGTACCCTTAAAATGGTTTGTCCCAAAGTAAACATGAAATAATTATCCAACATTCTTCATAATATATCTGATGAGCATTTTAAGTTTAAAGAGTAAACTCTTAAAATTAAAACATATTTTATAAAATGCCTTTGGTGCTGACTTTTCTAAATTTAATTTTGTTTTGTTAATTGCATAGCATACATAGTGAGACCACGTGCTCTGGAGTGAGGTTGCCTGGTTGAATCCTGGCTCATCCACTTACTAACTTTGAGAAAGTTACTCAATTTTTGGTGCCTCGGATTCCCCATTTGCAAATAAGAAATAAGAATAATGCCTACCTGATAGGATTATGAGGACAATAAAAGTGACTCAATACTTTTAAAGCACATAGAAGAGTTCATGGTTCATAAGTACCTTATAAAGGTTTGTGAATAAATGAATTTTTTAAAGGGTGGAGAAAAGGTGCAAAGTGCTATTGTTGCTAACCTTTCTGCGTGATGGAAACATGAGTGATTACTATTTTCCTCTTTGTACCTTTCTACATTTTTTTATTTATTTCAAATTTCCACAAATAGAAAAATGAGGAAATAGTTCATTTGTTGAGTAACTACTACCTTGAACAAGGCATTGGATCAGCCACTTATGAGTGGAAACTGACTTTATGTTATATTCCACTGTATCTCCAGCACCTAGCACAATTCCTAGCACATAATAAGCCTTTAATAAATGTCTATGAACTAGTAAACTGATCAGAGCAATCAGATACTAATAGACATGGTTATTGATCTCAAGGAGTATGCAGTCTGGATGGACAGCTTAAACTAATATGCTTTTTTGAATTAACAAGAAATAGTTTATATTTTTGGCAATATGCTTTATTTGGGAATTGTTACTCAGCATATGATATCTGAATCTTTTTGCTAGCATCATAAAAAAGCAATAGAGTAGCAGGTTAAGAGCATCGAGTCAAGCGGGAGTTAATCTGATGTTTCAAAACTGGTTCTGTCTCTTACTTGCTGTGCTATATTGGGTAGCTCACTTCACCTCTCTGGGCTCAGATTCCTCAACTCTAAAGAAAATCAACCACCTACCTCATTAAGGTGATGAGATAAGTAAATGAGATATTACATCTGATTTGTTTTGCTGCGCATCTAGCATGGAGCAAGCACTCACTAAATTGTGGCTGTTTGGGATTTTTAAAAATTAATGTATTTTAGTAGAGACAGGGTTTCACCATGTTGGTCAGAATGGTCTTGATCTCCTGACCTTGTGATCTGCCTGCCTCAGCCTCCCAAAGTGCTGGAAAAAATATTTAAGCAATAAGACAAACAGATTGAGATATTGCATAGAATGGAAGTCCAAAGTGTTAAGTGGGGACAGAGACAAAGCCGTTTCAACTGGTAGTCATCAAGCAAAGTGTCCTGGAGGAGGCTGAATTCAAGCCTTGCAGGTTAGGCACAGTAGATGAAGGACCATTCCTTCATCATTTAGACACAATAGTCTAAATGAGTGAGGGGTAATGAGTCAGAAGTGAGATATCCTTGGATGGTGGTTGTACTGGGATATGGGGAAGTTTGAGTCCTAATTTGGGAATTATGTTGTACACACAAAGTGAGATGTCCCAAATGACCAGAAACAGTAGATTTCCATGAAACACAAAATATATGCCCCTAGTGGCTGGAGGGAGGGAAGAACAGGGAATTGCTGTTGAAGGAGAATATATTTTCAGTTATACAAGATGAATACGTCCTAGAGATCTGCTATACAACATTTTTCCTATTGTTAGTGATACTGTGCACTAAAAATTTGTAAACAGGGTAGATCTCATGTTAAGTTTTCTTACCACAATAAAAGACAAAAGAAAAGAAATAAGAGAGTAGAAACTTTATACTTCTCATCCATTCAGCTCATCCAGCAGAATCCCTTCCCTATCAGGCCTCCACCTGCTTAGAGCCATCTGTCTCTAGGAAGAAAACAAGTATCACCTTAAATTTCAAGTAATGAAAGCAGGAGCCATTTCAAATACATGACAATCTGAGTTCTAGAATGGTTCCAGTGAGAAGTACATTCTTACTTTCTTTCTTTTTTTTTTTTTTAATTGTACTTTAGGTTCTGGGGTAAATGTGCAGATCAAGCAGGATTGTTGCATAGGTACATACATGGCAAGGTGGTTTGCTGCCTTCATCCCCCCATCACCTATATCTGGTATTTCTCCCCTCATTATCCCTCCCTAACCTCCCCACCGAGCTATCCCTCCCCTAGGTCCCCCCTACTGACTGCAATGTGTGATGGTCCCCTCCCTGTGTCCATGTGTTCTAATTGTTCAACACCCGCCCATGAGTGATAACATATGGTGTTTGGTTTTTTGTTCTTGTATCAGTTTGCTGAGAATGATGGTTTCCAGATTCATCCATGTCCCTATGAAGGACACGAATTCATCGTTTCTTAAGGCTGTGTAGTATTCCATGGTGTATATGTGCCACATTGTCTTTATCCAGTCTATCATTGATGGACATTTGGGTTGGTTCCAAGTCTTTGCTATTGTAAACAGTGCCGCAATGAACATATGTGTGCATGTGTCTTTATAATAGAACGATTTACAATTCTTTGGGTATATACCCAGTAATGGAATTGCTGGGTCAAATGGTATTTCTATTTCTAGGTCGTTGAGGAATCGCCACACTGTCTTCCACAATGGTTAAACTAATTTACACTCCCACCAACAGTGTAAAAGTGTTCCTATTTCTCCACATCCTCTCCAGCATCTGTTGTCTCCCGATTTTTTAATGATTGCCATTCTAACTAGTATGAGATGCTATCTCAATGTGGTTTTGATTTGCATTTCTCTGATGACCAGTGATGATGAGCATTTTTTCATATGTTTGTTGGCCTCATGTATGTCTTCTTTTGTAAAGTGTCTGTTCATATCCTTTGCCCACTTTTGAGTAGGTTTGTTTGGTTTTTTCCTTGTAAATCTGCTTTCGTTCTTTGTAGATTCTGGATATTATCCCTTTGTCAGATGGGTAGATTGCAAAAATTTTTTCCCATTCTGTTGGTTGCCCATTCACTCTAATGATTGTTTCCTTTGCTGTACAGAAGCTCTGGAGTTTAATTAGATCCCATTTGTCTATTTTGGCTTTTGTTGCTATTGCTTTTGGTGTTTTAGTCATGAAGTCCTTGCCTATGCCTATGTCCTGAATGGTTTTGCCTAGGCTTTCTTCTAGGGTTTTTATAGTGTTACTTTCAAACAGATCCACACAATAAACTAGAGTGGCCAACCACTTTTTTGAAAGTTATTTTAACAATAAAAATTTAGAATCATGTTTAATGTTTGTATGTTATAACTGTAATAAAATTAATAGCTCTGTGTGTGTGTGTGTGTGTGTGTGTGTGTGTGTGTGTGTGTGTGTGTGTCTGTCCTGGTGGCTTTCCTGAATGAGGAGCAAGGGTCATACATAAGTATACTTGAGGATGCTTCGGACAGAAGAGTAAAGATTCAAGGCCTGGAGTCTAAAGTCTTAACCCTATTAGTTATAATATTTTAAAGTTCTAAAAACAGTGTCTGGCGAGGGACTGCTTCTAAATCTGGGAGATGGGAAAGTGGCTGATGGCATAAGATGTTCTAGTTGTTTTAGCTTGACAATCAATGAATTCTGAGAAAACAGTCTCCAACCCCATGTGCTGTCTTTCAATGTAAACAGCACAGCTCTAAGGACAGGGCTCAGGAATTTTGAGAGAGCCCCTTACTGTACATCACTGTCACTTAAGCCAGCCTCACACAGGTAGCGTCTTTTTCACCCAAAGGAGTTAGGTCAGGAAGGTGATTTCCAAGAGAGACAGAGAGAAGGCACTGACATTCCCAAGGCTCCCTGGGGAAGAAATTCCAAAACTTTAGTAATTCTTGGTTTGTTTTCTGCTGTCTTCTCCATCTGAACTCCAGGGACTTCTTGATGATCTCAGAGGATGCCCCCTTGACAAAGGGTGGGATCTACGAGTGTCTTTAATCTCCTTAGCATGCAGGAGGCCCAGAGGAGTCAGAAAGGAAAACCTTCACCTTCACGATGGTTTAAAACTTGTCTAGAATCAGGTGCCTTCTCTGTGTAGTTTTTTGGGGAAGCATATTATATAACAAACTGGAATTGGGAAAAGAATTACACCAACACAGACAAGCATGCACCAACAATGACAATTTTAGCCTTTGTGGGCTGGGCAACAAAAATGAGATTTGTGTTATATTAAAATAAATGTTGACCAGGCATGGTGGCTCATGCCTGTAATCCCAGCCCTTTGGGAGGCTGAGGTGGGCAGATCACTTGAAGTCAGGAGTTTGTGACCAGCCTGGCCAACACAGTGAAACCTTGTCTCTACTAAAAATACAAAAATTAGCCAGGTGTGGTGGCACAAGCTTGTAATCCCAGCTACTCAGGAGGCTAAGGTGGGAGAATCGTTTGAACCTGGGAGGCAGAGGTTGCAGTGAGCTGAGATTGTGCCACTGCACTCCAGCCTGGATGACAGAGCAAGACTTTGTCTACAAAAAAAAAAAAAAAGAAAGAAATGTTTTTAGTATCATATTATTTCTGTCTGCCTATCTTTTGCCTCTTCATACCTATCCTTTCACTTAAATAAAGTTTCACTAAAAAATGAGGAAAATGGAGTAACTGTTAAGTAATCTCATATTTTAATGTCTTTTTAGATCACCGCCAGCCTCCAGAATAATTGACACAGAGAGAAATAATTGAACTAAAGGAAATCATTATTACATTATCTGGAAATGAAGTGAGAGATGAAACTGTTTTTTATCCTGCCATAAATTATCTACTGAAAACCCTTAATACAACACATAGATATAGAAAAAGAAGAGAATAATTTCTCCAGGATTCCCCTCCTCTCCTTCTGGGAATTCTCTTGCACTCACTTCTTCCTCTTTCTCTATATCTCTTCTTTTCTCCCTTTCCCATTTCTGTTTCCCTGTAATTTTTTTTCTTTATAGCAGGAGACCAAAAGGAGATTAAAATATATGTTAATTTCTAAATACCCCACATTGATGAAAAGAAGTCACAATGCAGGTAAATGTAACATTTTAAATTTTTTAATTGCTGATAAGAAGCATAAAAGGAAAATTTTGGGGCAGCTTATATCAGATGTTGGAAGAATCTGTTACAGTGACAGTTCATTTTTAGGTGAACCCATGACTATGAGAAGAAATAACCTAACAAGACCCTCTGAATTCATCCTCCTTGGTCTCTCCTCTCAACCTGAGGATCAGAAGCCACTCCGTGCTGTGTTTCTCCCCATCTACCTTATCACAGTGATAGGAAACCTGCTCATCATCCTGGCCATCCGCTCAGATACTCATCTCCAGACACCCATGTACTTCTTTCTAAGCATCCTGTCTTTTGTTGACATTTGCTATGTGACAGTCATTATCCCTAAGATGCTGGCGAACTTCTTATCAGAGACAAAGACCATCTCTTATGGTGAGTGTCTGACCCAGATGTACTTTTTCATAGTCTTTGGAAACAGACAGTTACCTGCTAGCAGCCATGGCCATTGACCGCTACGTGGCCGTATGTAATCCCTTCCACTACATCACCATTCTGAGTCATAGACGCTGTGTCTTGCTTCTAATTCTCTCCTTCTGCATTCCACATTTACACTTCCTCCTGCACATTCTTCTGACTAATCAACTCATCTTCTATGTCTCCAACGTCATCCATCACTTTTTCTGTGATGATCAACCAGTGCTAAAATTGTCCTGTTCCTCTCATTTTGTCAAAGAAATCACAGTAATGACAGAAGCCTTGGCGGTCATAATGACCCCCTTTTCATGCATCATCATCTCTTACTTAAGAATCCTCATCACTGTTCTAAAGATTCCTTCAGCAGCTGGAAAGCGTAAAGCATTTTCTACCTGTGGCTCTCATCTCACAGTGGTGACCCTGTTTTATGGAAGCATTAGCTATGTCTATTTTCAGCCCCTGTCCAACTATACTGTCAAGGATCGAATAGCAACAATTTTCTACACCATATTGACTCCAATGCTAAATCCATTTATCTATAGTCTAAGGAACAAAGACACGAAGCAGGGTTTGACAAAGCTGATGCACAGGTTGAAACGTCAATAAAAGACCTGAGGTCTTAAGAGAATATCACAGATCTCTTGCTTTTGACTATAGGTTATTAATGAGTATGTGATTAGATTCTGAAAGGATAGTGCCTTCAATGATGGAGTTTCATTTCTTATAGAAGAATGTTTATTGCATGTGTTGAAGCTACTCCTGAATATAATGCCTACCAACTAAGTTTGATCACTGTAATCTACTGAGTATCCCTATTCATGCAGCTGGGTTTCCTTGTGTAGTAATGTAAAGCTGCTTGAAGGTCTTTGAGCTACTGTGCGTGTGTGTGAGAGAGAGACTTCATCATATTAGCCCAGAGGCTCCTCAATAACAAGGTCTCTTTCTCCCATTATAAATGTCAGAACTGTGACTCCTTCCTCTGCATTTTCTCAAAGATTAAAGCCTGGCTTCTACAGTTGTCATAGTCTCAACAAATAAAATCACTCCACTAGATAACTCTTAATGAATCAGTGTCAGGTCATGTTCCTAAGAGCATGGCATCTCAGTATTCTTCCTACTTCCCACCTGGCAAAGCTGACCGTACCTTAAGTCTCTCATTAATTTCATTTGACCCAAACTCAACTGTACCGTTTTCCCAGGAAGTTATGTGTTAGGTCCCAGTAATCTTAGTAGCAGATGACTCCAACTGCTGGGGTAGTTCTTTTTCTTAATAGACTTAAGACAGTCTTCTAACCAGAAAAACTGATTGGGTAGGAAAAAACACTTTTGCTCATTTGTGAGTTCTGAGAAATATTAATCACTGCTAGTCCATGAATTACTTGAATTCATTTGCTCTTTCAACAAATTTCTACTTCTGATACACCAATGCACCAGCCTACCGGGCTTAAAAACAAAGATAATGTGCTACATGATTTAAGTCAACAATCTGAAGGCCAAAGATTAGCAGGGCCTAAGGAAATAAAATAACACAGGCAATACAAGCTTTTGGAGGGCAACTTCCTGTAAATTGGATTGTTGTAGGCTTGTAAGGTAGAGAGAAACACAAAATTTTAAGTAACAGGTGTCAAATAAAAATCAAATCTGGTCTTAGGTAAGGATAAATTTTTTTTGAAAGGACTACTGCAAGAGGGACACATGGTCTATAGCAATAACGCAAGGGAGATTATTGCACCAGGGAGAATGCCTCAATAGTGAGACCAACAAAACTCTCAAATGTCAGATAGAAAAGAAATTTTCTTTTATAAAGAGAAGTGAACATGAATGAGGCTAGAAAGAAACAGATATGCAGAAGTGGAATGAGCTAGCGACGGCAGCAGGACTGAAGAGTTGATCAAAGGATGTATTTTATCAGCTAATGCTCCAGAGGGTTCATAAGAAGGGGTTATATGTTAACTGAGATTGAGGGTGGGTTGAAGTTCATTCCTTTCCAGAACACAAACGAGTGGAGGGATTTCTTGAACTGTCACTGTTTTCCAGGAGCACAGGGCTCAGGTAAAGTTCAGCATTGTCACAGGGATTTGCTGTAAGAATTTACAAGGTAAAAAGAAGACATAAATCTCAGCTGCACAGCCACATCTCACAGAGGAATAAAAAGCATGGCTGGGCCCCACAGAGTTGGAAGGTAATTCAGGGTCTGGAAGGCTACTCAGGGAAAAACACAAGATTCATGAATATGCCATTTTAAGACACTACCACATTAAGTACAAATAAGGGGGCCATGTTTATGAGAATTACACAAAAGATAAGAGGCTTCTCTCTAAAACCCTCTCATGAGGATGTATGGGAGAGAAGAGTCAATCAGCTAGAGTTAATTGGAGATTATGTGGTGATAAAGTAAACATGGAAACTTCCCAGAGACATGTTTGTCAGAGGATATTTACAACAGCTACAAATGCTCCCTTAATGCAAGTATAACTGCCCCCCTCCCACAAAAAATAAACAGCCAAACATACTCCAAACATCTTAGCAAACAATACACCACAAAGGGACTGGACTGCCTTATGTAAGTAACTGGAGAAAGACTCAGTTACACATCTGGGTCAATATGGAAAATAACAAAAGCAAAAGCTTGCAGGCATTGGTTATCAAAGATTATAAGCCTCTGGGATTTGCAGAAACATTGGCAAATAGCTTAAACTTCCACCAGCCAAGCAACTGACAGGTTCCTGAATTCAATCTTACCTGAATGTTCAGCAGAGGGATGCTGCTGCTCTTTACACTATGTAGTAACAGCCACCAAGCATTGAGCTGCAAAAGGCACCCCAATGCAGCACTTTACATAATCACACTAACTTTCTATCTACTTTTTGAGGAAAGTACAAATTTATTATATCCATATGTCAGATGTGATGAGAGTCAGAAAGTACAAATAACTTGTTGAATATCAAACAACACTTAACATCAGATCTGAGAACTTAAACTTGTTCTGAAAATTGTATTTTTTGCTCTTAACCCCTATCCTGCCTCCCTAAAGGTACCTATGTGTCCATAAAGACAAATTTCTTCAACTTACTAATTTTCTTAAAAAAAAAAAACAAAAACAAATCTAGGTCAGTGAGATGGAGCTTTATTTTCATTCTTAAAAACAGAAACCCAGAGGCACAGATGACCACAAGGACATAAACTTCCTAAAACTGTGCAAAATTCTCCATAATAAGTTGAACTTCTGTGTGTTGTGAAATGGGAACACTGAGTCACATTTACTTAGCACTGAAGGGGCAGAAAATCCCTCAGTGATAGCTGTATCTGGTGAGTGATTTTATGTGCCAGAATTGAAACATATTTTAATGATCAGAATAATACTATGTATAATATTATCATCTGATAGTAACACTATCATCACGGCCACTTTAGAAATGAGGTAGCCAAGTTTCAGAGGAGTTAAAAGACTTCCCCAGCTATGACATAATCAATATGGAAGAATAGAAGATACCAGCCTTTATCTGTCCACCCCAGCCCCCAAAAAATCAAATATAGGCAGCAGTTCACAAACCAAAATAACCCAGAGGGTGCTCAAGGGGCCATTTAAGAATCTGCAGCAACACAGTGGTGCAAGAAGAAAAATAAAAAGAATGAGAGGAATATATGCACATGAAGGATCACTTGTGAGATCAATGTACCTGAAACACCTAGAGATGGCCAGGTGCAAAGAGAAAAGCCAAGGACATTGGTATCAGGCACATTGTGGGAAGCACCATGGTCCCTAGTGAACTGCTCTACAGAAAATTTCGGCATCTTTGTCACTAAGGGAACCAAAAGTCATTCCTGCCAGGGAACCCCAGAGAGGAAGACTTGGCTTCACCCACACACACACCCAAGAAGTAACCACCATTGTGCTATGCCTGAACCAGAGCCACCACTCCTCTCAACCCCAGATATGTTCCTGACCACTAAACTGCAGCTTCTCCATGAGTGCCTGCATTCCAGACCTTGGCTCTGTGGTTGTACTATATCTACCCATGCCTCAGATAGCAGAGCCACCACCATAGCAATTTAGTTTACACGCTGCACCCCAGAATTAAGATCTATCTGCATGTATTCACATACCAGATGTCAGCCCAGCCACCACAGAGAACTAGTGCATGACCTGGAGCCTGGAGCTACTATAACTCTGCACAGTTCCATGGCTCCCTGCCTGCTTCATAAGCACCCATGCCTTGCATATTATTACCAACACAACAACAGGGATATCTGCACCCCGGGCACTAGTGCCTTTGCTGCTGTGAACTTCAGAGCCATGGTCCTTCCACATATGCCTGTACTTTAAGCCTTGGCTCACTGGCTATTCCACAGGTACTGCTCATCAGACACTAGTATTGCTGCCAGGGCGGGCAGGCCCATGAGCCAAACCCAGTGGCACGAGACACCCTTAAGGTCATGGTTTCCCAAGTAAGACAAAAAGACTTCAGGAGACTTGAGCAGCCATAAACACCAAACACATCAAAAGCCCTTACTGCTGCTGCAGGCACTCACATCATTGGTCACTGCCCTGTAAACTTTATCAACACTGGCCACAGCTGACATAGCTGTACAGAGACTATGCTGCTGCACTCTCACCAGAGTCAGAATTGCTGCACCCTACATAGCCAGCACCCTTGCATGTTCCCATAAAAGAAGATCCTTCCCCACCAAAACCATCTCAGAAATCAGACAGACAGAGGGGATTATTTCACAGCCTTGAAAAGTTTGAGTGTGTAGTCTGGATGGCAAGCAAATTCAAGCATTAACAGAAGACCACAAGAAACGGGAAAAACAAGGGAAACATATCATCACAAAAAGAATATAATAATTTCCCAGTAGCTGACCCCCAAAAATAGCAATTTCTGAACTGCCAAAGAATTCAAAATAATTGTTTTAAGGAATCTCAGCAAAGTCCAGAAGAAGACAGAGAAAAAAAATTCAACAAAATCAGTAAAACAATTAATAAAAATGAGAACATTATAGATTGAAACCATAAAAAATCAATAAGAAATTCTAGAGCTGAAGAATACATGAGTGAAATAAAAATTCAATAGGGAATACAGTGAATGGAATAAAAATGAAATAGTGTCAATGGCAGATTTAATCAAACAGAATAAAGGCCTGTAGAATTGAAAACAGGTCATTTGAAAATATACAGTCAGAGGAGAAAACATGAAAAGAAATGAAGAAAGTGTATGGGATTTATAGAACAACATAATAATAGCTTTCATCTGCATTATAGAATGTAAATAATGTGTAGAGAAAGAAAAAGGGATAGAAAGGTTATATAAAAAATAATAGCTTAAAACTTCCAAATCTGGGAAACAATATAAATATGCAAGTACATGGGAGTCCAAGGTCTTTACTCAGATTGAATCCAAATAAGACTACCACAAGACATGAAATCAAATTATAAAAAAAAAAAACAACAACAACAAAAAAACAGAGGATCCTAAAAGCAACAAGGGAAAAGAAACATTATCACATTTAATGGATTTCCAGTAAGGTTAGCAGCACGCTTTTTAGCAGAAAACTTACAGGCCAAGAGAGAGTGGGATGACATACTCAAAGTGGTAAAAAAATAAAATAAAAAATAAAAAAATTGCCAACTAAGAATATTGTGACCAGCAAAGCTATATTTTAGAATGAAGAAGATATACTTTCCCAGAAAGGTAAAAGCTGATGGAGTTCATTATTCCCAGAGCTGCCTACAAGAAATGCTAAGAAGAGCTCTTCAAGCTGGAAAAAAATGATACTAAATAGTAACATGAAAATATAAAACTCACAGGTAAAAGTAAGTA